AAGAGTCCCATACTAGGACGAAACGGCCGTCTAGTGCTTCCAGGTTTTCTATAGTGGTCTAGCTTCAATTGACTCATGATTTCAACTAGTGAAATAATTTTTGAGACTAAATGAACTTGAAGTTTTGGATGTGAATTCTCTGGTTGGTAATCTGTAAAACTGTTGTTTGGTTTATTAGTAGCGTAAATTATTAATCTCAAAGAAACAGAATTAATTCTTGGTCAGTAAGGGGTTGTAGAGATTGTTAATTTTTTTTCGAAATCATGAACTAATCGAGGTAATACCACTAATGAAAACCTAAAAGCACTAGACAGCCGTTTCATCCCAGTATGGGACTTCTAAAAGGTATGCATCCACGATTCCGCACGCGGGACTCGAATCTAGAACATTTGATCTCGCGCGCGGACGCCCAACCTCCAGACGATTGAGCTGGCATCCAACAGCGTTAATATCTAACGTCAACCAATCCACGTTATTGTGCGACCATCTTCCATTATCTTCAGTAAGCAACTGCCTCACAGCTTCTCACTAGAATTCCGAAAATTACCTCTCGAAACTAGTCACTGGTGATGGTTATCAGTATAGGGTTGTAGAGGTTGCGCAATACTGTGGGTTGGTTGACGTTAGATATCAACACTGTTGGATGCCGGCTCAATCGTCTTTAGGTTGAGAATTTGCGCGCGAGGCCGAGGGTCCCGGGTTTGAGTCCCGCGTGCGGGACCGTGAATACATACTTGCTTGGATGAAACGACCGTCCAATGCTTTCAGGTTTTCAATCGTTATCTATCATTGATCGCTTCATGATCCCAATCAATACTTAATGTTACTGACGTTTCTTATTTTCATTCGAAATAATTCTAATTCTCAACAATTGTAAATCGCATTTTACACCAATTATCTAATACAATAGCGAAAAATTAATTTTATCACACAATTTCTATCTCTTAATTTACTTATTGGTCTGTACGGTATTATGACAACTGACTAAATCTTCTATGAGATAAGTTGAATTTTATTTAAAAATTAAGCGAAACGTAGTGTTCAATAATAAAACATTCTGCCTTTTAAAATCTCGCTATTCCTCATATTTCCAATAGGTTACAGATTGATAACTGACACATCTATATTACTCTGAATGTATTAATTGTTAAACTGAAATTATTCCTTCAATTAGGGTTGAGGATGATAAATGCTTATGTAATAGGTTAGTTTTTATTTTAAAGAAAACAATGAAGATACACTAATCGGTTTATTTTCTCTGTTTAAAATATTAATAATATATGTGATTACACATACTTTGATGAATTAAATCTGATTAGAATAAGTGGTTTTAATTAAATCATCTTAGTTTGTAAATCATCTGGGAATAATCCTAGTTGGGATATCATTAAAATCATGGAATACTGGACTGTTGTTACCTACTGGTATGGGACTCGTTAGCAGCACAAACCAACGACTACTCAATAGATTGAATCCTGAATTTTCAGGTTTTGTTCTGAGTCAAGTGATTCAGAATGCTTCCTTTCCGATTTAATTTTTAGTGATCAAATTTATCCAGTTGGAGATCCATTGAATGTGATATATCTGAATCACTGGAAATTAATCCAAAATTGAGATGGTGGAGAAGATTTGTAGCTCATGTGGATGATTTTGATAGAATTTTGTTCCCTGAGCTGGATGTTTTGATCGTGGATCTGAATGAAATCATCAACACAAACATCAGGTTTATGCTTCATAAACAAACCAATCCAGCTCAGAGAACAAAACTCTATCATAACTAATCCGAAATTATTGAAATTCTTTCTTCATAGTTAGTTATATAATATACCCTTGTGGGCCAGGGTAATTTTATATTGATTTTCAAGAGAACCAGACACCATCCAGAATTCCACGTGACAACCCAAACAGTACAGCTCAGTCCCGTTTGACAGGAGGCTCAGACACCGCCCAGGCTTAAATTTTATAACCTGAGCAGAACAACTCAACCCCGCTTTACAGGAGAATCAGACACCGTAGAGGCTTTAACGCTACAATCTGAATAGTACAGCTCAATCCTGTGGCGCAACTACACCGGTATCAAGCACCCTGGTGGACCATTCACACCATCCATGTACACATTCACGTCACATGTATAGTTATTCCAATCAATGATCGCGTGAATCAATTATGCACATCACGAACAGGCCAAAGTTGTCCTATTCCACTTACACGACAGTGAAACTCATTAATGTTAGCAATGGAGACATTTTTGATTTAATTATCTGAAACTTATGTAAATGTTTAGGGTTTCCATTATCCATGTCCTGAATATATATGAATTTTTGTAGAACATTTAGTTAATATATGAAGTAGTTTTATAATTTTCTAGTCTGTTAGACAGATCATACTTTATACGTGATTTAAAAACTATTAATTTTAAAAAAAATGGAAATATTTTTCCAACCAAAATTGTTACTGATGACGGATTTATTACCGAACCCCCCCCCCGCATCAGAAACCTTAACATGTATCTTCAAATAAGCAGGGTTTATTCTATTATTTTTTTATGTAGGGAAGAAATTAAGTAAAGCTGAAACAATTAAGCAAAAGTTCATATTTCGAAATGTACACACATAAGGAAATAGGGATTTCATTCTTAATAAAAGACATATAAACTAGAATGTCTAGTGCTATCGTGACAACAATTTGTTTCTATGTTTACATCATATTTTTGATCTAAAAAAGCAATATAAAAATCAATAATGACATCATATTTAGATGGTTCAATGTGAATGGTTGATATAGTTCGTCGTTTAAATATTAAGGACTGTTATAAATCGGATTGTGAAGAATAATGTTTGAATCAATTCTCATGTATTACCAGTTATGTGTATTGTGGTTAAGAAACACAGTATTCAATGTTTAATAAAAAGGCTTCAATATGGCATAAATGAAAATTTCACATTTATTAATACATTAGTGATCAGATTCTCGAAATTTTATGATCTTGAGTATTGAAGCGACTCCATAAAGCATCCATGGATATGACAACGTATTGTGCAAAATCTATAAATTCAATTTGAAGATAAAATATAAACTAAAAAAGATCGTATCATTGTGGATTAACTGATTTAAAGTATGATTTCAACAGAGTGAAAGAGGCGGTGATTTATTAAAAATGTATAAAATAACAGGGTTCGAGAATATTATTCTATAGGTTGGATCATGAATAGATGTTCATCAGATAACTGCTGGGAACGAGAAAGCACTTGATAGATGTTTGGTCATGGTATGGAACTCCTCAGCAGTGACCAAGAGCCGTTGAAGAATCTATCCTAGGACCTTCAGACTTCTTGGCGAGCTCTTGACTTCTAGACCACTGAGCTGAGCTCCACTGGTATACATGTTTTGTTTTAATAAAGTCACGACATCACACAGTCATCTGTTACAGTTATTATTGGGTAAAGACTGCCTCACACCCAACATGATTGGACTCCACTAGTAATGAATCCTAATGAAACTCCATGAGTGATTCTTCCAATTTAGTCACAAGTGAGCACATTATTATTACGAGTATAGGAGAATGGTGGAGCTAACTGAATTTCATTGTTTATATCAAGGAGAAGCGAGCCCTTATGACTCAGTGTAATGAGATACAGTGTTATCGCTTTCTAATGGTTTATAACAAGTTTATTTAATTTATCATGTATACCTATGATGACAAGATTCTTATTGAAGACAATGTATTTTTCTGCTTCTTCGGATTACAAGGACTCCTAAAGTGGACATAGATAATCTAATGAGTAGGCGTACAGAAGAAACTTAACGAACGTATTATTCCATCATGTTACGAATCTTTGATATCTTTTTATTTCAAATAGATTCGTTCTCGTTTGAACCCAAGTTTCAAGTTGTCGATGAATATTTCTAACCCAAGCTGAGGATTTTAAATTTGTTGTGAGGTCATTCTTGAAGTTTAGTGAGAAAAATTTATCAGTGAAGTTCAAATTCCTTTTATCATGTTATTCAAGTGATTTTATAAAAATGTTACAAGTTACAAGTTACTGTACAGCTTCATGACTCTTTTGCTTTTCCCGATGATTATAATTATTAAATATTTAAAGTTATGCGTATGTACGTACTTTGAGAATAAAATTTATTTGTTGAAATATATCTACGCGACTTACATTGTGTTCAGTACCTAGTTTGCATCCATGTAGATTACACTGGAAATATTTAGGGGGAATTTATTGAAGCATGTAGATAATGACGTGAGAACATTTGGCTATTTGACTCCTCTAAAATTAGGAAAAAACCAAATAAAGTATTCATTATTCCAGTTTAAAGATCAAAATAAAGTCTGAAGTTAGCTACACGTTGAAACTTTATTTTATGAGTTGTGGGGGAGACCTCAGTCTTATCCCTTTAAAAACACTCATAATTTGTAGTAATATACTTGTTACATCTCTGTTTTAATTATGCAAGTTATTCCTGGAGATTCCTAAAAATCAATATTGTCAACTGCCTCTTCGTTTCAAATTTTATCTTCTGTATGTTGTTGCGATGATGCTGTTTAATATATGGCAAAAAACACAATCTACATCCTGTTGATCCTGATGAGTAAGGTCAGGTGATCTGGTGTGGTAAATGAACTACGACCCAGAAACCTGTTGACAATCATTTCCGAATGTTCAGATGCATTTTCGCGATGTAACAGTCACTCGTCGGGGTTACATAATTCTTTTTCATGCATTTCGCATACATTTCTTCCTCCGGTGGGAAATTAATAATCAAAAACACCATGAATGTCAGTTATTTACTAAAAAGAGCATGTATGTTCTCCTGTATTCATTTATTTAATTAATGGCTACGTCCACTTAAGTCCATTCACACGGGATTTCGGAACCGTTTCTGAGCATGAATAACAGTAAGTCCGTCTTGGTCATAAAAGGATTTTCTCAGGATCATCTTTATTGAATTTTCTAAATTTGATTTCTGTAATTTATTTCTCGAATTAACAGACCTATGGGATTCGTGCACCAAAAAAGTCAATTCTTCGATCAAGTTCTCGTGTTAATTCCAATCTGAATTCGTTAGAAGATAAAACTATTGATTCAGATACTGCAACTAGTGTGTCTCTGGTTAATTTACGATCTTCACCTTCGGAAGTCAGGCGTAGATTCCATCCAACAAGTCGATCATCACATTTAAATGGTAGTGACCAATCAGATAGTGAAAATGATAATCATTTAGGTCGTGGTCATAGAAGCGTTTTGTTTCTTGACCAAGTTGCAGCGCCGGATCGATATCGCACATCAAGAGTCTCAGATTTTGATTCTGAACCAAGTAATTATTCCACAGTTAGCCGTAGGTCGCCATCATTTCCTCGAACTATCAGTCCATCATCATCATCATCATTAGCCTCCTATCCAGCTAATTATGAACCATCACCGTTAATACGTAAAAAGAATTTTGATGATCCAGGTATTGAGCTAGTCAGTTGTAGTCCGCTTTCGTGTTCATCAATGAATAATCGCCAAGAACACCACCATCATAATTTTAAAATGCATAAAATTAAACCTGCCATAAAACGTCTATCCTATTTGAACGCATTTGGTAGAAAACATAGAGATTTGAAAAGAGGCAGTCTTACACTGATATTAGATCAGGAATTGGATGGCGTTGATGATGGTAGCAATAACGATGATGATGATGACAGTAATAATGATGAACACCGAGAAATCCATGAACAATACAATGAACAATATGTCTATGAAGAATTACCACGTCTAGATACTCTGAAACTGTCATCAAATGATTCATATTCAAGTGATGTACATGATATATTGACTGTACCAAATTATGAAGATGATTGCTTCTATAAAAATATTCAGAAAAATGAATTAAATCATTCAAGAAATATTCTAAATGAACGAAAAGGAACAATTATCAAGGTAATCAATTTAATTTATAGTGAACATACTATTTAACGCTTTTAAAGTAGTATAGTTCTTTTTTCAAAGGTTATCGTTTGAGCAAACGTCTAACGTTTAATTACTTATTACTTAAAGCTTTAAAGAACGAAAGTTGAAGATTAAAAAATGAACAGAAATTATCAGTGAGTCTACTGGGACTATAGTACCAACTACTTTTTTAAAGAGTGTACTCTAAAGAGATTCTAAATAAAAATATCTTGATCATTGAGATATTACTTAGTTTACAGTGCTTTCTACCTGATGAAATTGTATTTGTAGTATAGAAGGTTCATTGCAATTACTGATCTTATAGCTCACATCACGGACTGATCTTAATTTAACATTTATTGAAAGCCAATGAGCATTGGACATATGTTTTATCCTGATATTGAAGTAGATTTCAATAGTAGCAAGAAATAAACGTCCAATGCTACTGAACCATTCACATTATAAATAGATTATTAACATATCACGGTATAAGATGATAAATCTGCCATGAGATGCTTGTCAATGAAATTCTTTAAGTTGACTAATTTGTAGGTATTACCAGGTTGGAAGATAGGGAACGAAAATGTGATTATGACGTTTCAAACTTTTCCTGTTAGCCATTTATGAATAGTGAGGTAATAAAAATAATTTACTATTTCTCATAGAAACATTCACTTGAAAATTTAAGTGAATTTTCCCTTATTTTATTTGTATTTTAATGGAGTTTTACGTGTGACAGATCATAACAATCAGGATGGTTAGGACAAAAGTGATAGGAATTATTTGTTTATATCTTAAAATGCATGTCACTTACCGAAAGGCTAATAACGTCGGTTGTTACAGGTCCTCTTACAAACAGGAAACATAATCTAAACAGATAAATAGCTGTGAAATACTGGAAACTCATCTCATTCTATTCAACATGTATCTGAATCCCAGTGTTGATGATTGCTTTGACACTCAAAACAACTTCAATTGTCTTAATCGCCAGTGCTTTATTCTTTTGGTTGTGATGTTAAGATTGATAGGAGTATTGTTCCGTTGTCGACATTCAGAGCCACATTAGATTAGTCTGTTTTGGTACATTGACTCCTTTGATGTATATAGAATGCTGTCTACAACAATTATTTAATTATCAAACAATAAGACATAGGTTCTGAGATTTATTACGACCTTATCATTTTCGCAAGCGACGACAAAGAGAGAATATAAAATCGACTACTGAGATTGATCCGATCATTTCGTAATGTGCTAGTTGTGTCTTATAGTACTCGATTTTATGTTTATTGATCGTGATGCTAATTCACACGCGTTCGCTTGATGATCCATTCACTCAAGTGTGATAAATTTTTAATTTCACGATTTCCTATTAACGACAAACTTAAATACACATTACGAAAAAATAATGGTCAATGAACATAATTTTACGATGTTTTCTAAACAAAATCTTTAACTGCAGATTGATCGTCATAAATCTGACGTTCATCAGTCTGGATTCATGTATCATCCTAATCAATTAAAAGTTAATTCAAAATACAATTCTAATGGTATTGATTTCAACAAGAAAAACTCAGCACAATATCGTTCATCCAATTCAGAACGCACTCCAACTGGCAGTACAGAAACCTTAGTTGATTCATCAAGAAAATCCTCATCAGAAATATCCGTCATCCATATAGATGAACAAAGTAAACTATCATACACAGGTTATTCAAGAACTGTACAAAGTTCTAACTCTTACCACAATCGGGTGGTTGATGCTAATAAAGATGGTTGGAAAACAGTGTCAGTTGACCAGTCACAAAAACACACTGGTAATAATAATAATAACGAGCGAACAGCAAATCCACAAAGTCCTCGAATCATTTATGTATCTAAACGGAATGAGAATAATAGTAAATTATCTACTAACCCGAATAAGATTTCTATTTCTGGATTATCTAATTCAAGTACATTGGGAGCATATTCATCACACAGTTATGAATCGGATCAAACTCAAATGAATCAATTTAAACATTCTAATCATATTGTTTCTCCAGTTCGTAAAACAAATATGGTTACTATTCACTACAGTGATAACGATGACTGAAAATATAATCTTCGAATTGTATTCCTACTACTATTAATTCTTTGTTGAATACTTACGGAATTACTGTTTATTCTTTTAGAGTTAATCTAGATTATCCTTCATTATAATAATCTACTGCTTATCCTATCAGAATTTCTTATTATCTTAAGTACTCAGACTATGATAGTTTACAGATAAGAAACATTATTTTGCAAACAAACAAAAAATGTATAAATTCTTTATTCCTATTCAATGATTGGGTGAATATATATATATTTAAACTGTTTGCTGATTGGTCAATTTGACATTGCTAAGCATTAACCAATCACTATCAACTAGTCTTTTAGTTCTTTGAGAACCAATCGAAATTTAGCATCCAACGAAAAGTTAAATGGATGGAAAAGATCTATAGAATAACAACATTGTTATTGTTATGTTCTATTCACTAGTTTTTCTAGTGCCTTGTATTGAATAAGTAACTAATTAACTCTAAGCTGATTAATCACCACCAATAAAGAAGACATTGTTTTAATACATTTCTAAAGTGAGAATGACTATTTTATAACAGTATATATATATAAATATGCCGTGGCGAATATTGATTAATACACTTCTGTTAAGAAGTAAGTTGATGTATGTAAACGTCATTATTTAAAATAACTGCAACTTATAATATAATAGATATTTTAATAACAATTAGTTGAATGGATCACATTGTTAAGCGACACTAATAGGTCAACAAGTTACAAATGCAATCATATGTTGATTTTGATTTTCGTTAACTGATCACCCCTCCACCCATTCAGTTACACTTTAGATTAAGTTACTTATAAGTGTATTATTTTCAGTAAAATTTACCTCTCCCTTTCATCTATTTCATCGGATATATTTATTTGAAATGAATAAAATATACTGACGACTGAATAGTCAGTTTATTCTGATTTTTGATTTTTTTTAATAAAATTAAAATCGTTCAGATTTTTCTTATTGATTGAAAGTTTGAAGTACAGTCTGCAATGTGCAGACAAATGACTAGTCAACTCGAATAATCGCATAATTTATATTAACAGATTACTGTTTAAGTTTGAGGAATTTGAAGGTGGATTGATACTGCATAACCATTTTATTAAGACAGAGCTGAATAAGAGTCATAATACCTTCTTGTTCTTAGACTAACTGTTAGTTTTTGATATGTCAGTCAAGTCAAGCTGTCAATGGTCAATCAGCAAAGATAGACATACCTGATTACACTAAATATAAGCGACCATCTTTTATGTAAAACTGATTCCCACTTGTCGACCGCTTTCAGTTTGTATCATGATAAGTTGCCGTTCTGATTTATATTTGGATCCTGATAGCTTGTTGGATAATTGATTCAAGTTTATCACGGAACCAAGTATCGTGTCTTATTGAGTTCACTGATTCAATGTTTAGTTCTACCGATATAATGATCAGTTACCAAGTCATATATTGAGAATCTAGTATTCAGTGCAGCATCACAACCCAACCATAAAAATCTTAGCATTCTGTTTTTACACTTTACATAAACATAACAGAAAAACCTCAGAATTACTAAGGAGAGAATAACCTATTCCGTAAGTTTTAACTGCATGATTTTTGTTACGTCCTATAGCCCATCCATAATCACGTAAAAAATCGCCAATCAGAAATTTGACTTGTATGATCTTGTCCCTATGGTAAGTCAGTAGTGCGTTAACTCTGAGTCCTTTCATTAGTTCTTCTTGCCTAACCCTGCCCATTGAGTCCAGAACATAATCTCATCCTGTACTGTACGAATCATGCATTTCAGACATGCGCAGTTAATATACAGGCAAAGCACACCTCATCACGCCATAAAACAGAAATTAACAATTATTTATCCACTAATCAACATATACACGAAGTAGTTTTCAAAGTTTGGGCTATTCCATTTACTCGTCCATATCTAACAAAAACATAGAACATTTATTTCTGAAAATATTTACTCGTTTTTTTTAGATTTGAAGTATCGTGGGTTTATTGACCTCGCAAACTTGTTTACAAGGTTTCAGTTTATTTGACAGTCAATATGGCCTGCAGTCATTCTAACACAAAATTTATGTACACCTCAAATATACACTCAGTTAGAAGTGGAATATACGAGACAATAGTTTTAGGGGCCTGATTACTTTGTTTGAAACGTGCTTTCGATAGCAACGAAAGCCAACCAGCAATTCTACGCTAACTGGAAAGATGAATACTACTAAATTTCTGCACTATTCAATACTAGAACTAAATTTCTCCCCACAGATCTCTTTATAAGCGTAGAATAATTGTCTTTTGGTTGGATTCAAGCTATAGTTAACCTTGAACTACAGTCAGTCTATGATGAATAGTATCACTTTTTGTAACAATTTACTATTCACTTATTACAAAGTAGAGACTATGTGAAGCTTTGATTGCAGGCAATATTCACGTCAAAAGATTGATGCATAATACCTAAAGAAAAGAGGATGCTTCTTGGTATATCTTCACTCAAGAGTTTTTATTTACGAGGAATAATTGAAATTTTCTTAACCACCCGATATTTGTTCTCTATGACCAGTCTATTCAATAGAAATATCACTTCACCATTCTTGTGAAGCTGTACTAGGTTTCACGGTCAAACGTATGTCATAGGTACTGCGAATTCGTCCTTGAAGAAAAATGAGACCGCCAGAAAATATAACCTAAGCGTCAGACTAATATTCATAGCAGTTTTCATATAGATTTGAGGAAACAAGAGACAAACAATATAATTTCATTTCACGTTAGAGAACGGCTATATCCATAGATCGATAAAATTCGGTAAAATTGGACTGTTTATAAAATCCAGACTAATACCTTATGAATTTCCAGACTGGTTTTCCTTCAACTGATGTACAGACCTGATTGACATAGAGACGTTAATGTATTATCGAGTGAAACAAAACGTTTTCTCTCGCACCAGCGGTTAATAGTGCAGCCGATAAGTTGAAATTAAATTCACTCTCAGTTACTCCATGTAATATAATGTCTACAGAGTTCACTGTTGAGTAAAAACACTGTAAAACACACTTGTCGTACAAGTGTTTAGCAATTCTACAATAAATAAATACTAAGCGTTTTATGAGAAAGTGTTTACTCAAATAGCTAAGTTAGTGGATATTTTACGCAAGTAAACTATCTAGTAAACTGATGATGTCTTCTCAAATAAATCACTGAGTTTTAATACAAAACTGCGGAGGTCCATATGAGTAAAGAGAACAATGCTGATGTCAATAAAAGATGTTATATATATAAAGCATAATATGAACACTGTACATATACACATAAGTAGAATAGATGTAAATTAACTAATGTTACGAATAATTATAATAAGAAGAGAGCAGAATAATTATATTTAGATCCTTTATATGATCCTTATTTTAAGAGAAAGACAGGAAATAAATCCCAATGATATAACCACACACACACACATACAAAAAGGGGGATAGAGTTGCAAAAAGGTGAAGATGACATTGAAGCTGACATAGGAATGATGAACAATATACAATGACATCTTTATACTGTAATTTAATTATTTTGTAGGTAAAGGAGATAGAAAAAAATTGCTGTCCTGAATAACTGTTGTTTTACAGGAGTGGCCTGATAGGTATAATGTTTATGATTTGAATGCCAACAGAATAGGTTGTGAAAAAATGAGGCATGATGATCGCATTTCCCGATGATGAACACAATGATACATGAATTCGGAGCAATGAAGAAAAAACAGGGATAAATAATCAGCCATCAGTCAACTTAAAAGAACTAAGATAAATGAAAAATTAATTATTTGGTTATTTATAAAATGAAATTCCTTGTAGTGATGGAAATGAGGGAGTAGCTTCATTGAGCCGTATAAAATCACTATCTAAATCAAAATACAAGGTACTTGTAAATTAAATATAAGATCTATTAATCAACAGGAGTTAGGAAATTACCATAATAGATGACTTTCTAGTTGCCAGGATGCTCATACCCAGTTTGATATTGGAAAACAAAGTAATCAAACAACTTACTTCAAGATTTCACTATTGATTGGGGAAAGATTTGGTAAAGATGAATGGTACACACTGTCCAACAATAAACAGTTTCCCTGTTCATTAAAAGAACATATAGGAGTATGGCACATAGCTGGTTTACTGCTGTCTAAAGGGTCATTAAGGCGATATTATGCAAGGATGAAATGAACGATGTAGTGACTTAACTGAATTTTCCATGCATAGTACGCGTTTTTGCTTATTAGGTTATGGACCTGTAGTGATTTATATGGTTGATTCATATTACATATGTCTAAGTAGTGACTGGCATTAGGTCGATGAGATAGAAACGTTTAGGTCAGCGAATGAATTAATTGTATCCATACATCTTAGTAACATGAACAATGACCTAGAATGTTATTAGTAGCTGAAAATGCAACTTGAAACTGCTCTGTATAGTTTTATAACCACACTGTTTAGCTTATAGTCTTGCATAATTAACTACTTTTTACTTCATATCCTTTACTAATCCAATTGAAATTACATTTTTCTCGACTTTTCTCATCATGGTATGCTACGAAATTCTTGCAATATAAATCGACTTATTAATATATTTAAAGCTATCTCACTGCTGTGCTAAACAAACAACGAAATTGCATCACCAGTACTCTTCTATATGAGGTTTTAATTTAAAGTTTTATATTGGATATTGTGTATATCTGATAGTTGAATAAATGGACAAACGATTACAGTAAATATTATATTAATATAAACAATGGGAAAAAATATAAAGGTCAATTTTATGGAAATCGAAATGATTTAATAAAAAGACTGATCAGTTAGCCATAATGAACGTAGAGACTGGGACAAATTTGTGTTAGCACTAGTTTTCATATTGATATGAGTAAGGTTGTTGAACAAAACTGACTCCCCTCTTTAAGCTAATGAGGATATAGAATTACTGAAAAACTAATAACGACCAAGTAAATAAATGTTTGAAAGTTAAGATTATTTGTGTAAGATATCCAACTATAATATGAATGGGTTACTCCACAGAAATCTATGGATGATGGACATATGAAGATTATAGTTGATATTTATATGAAACTGAACTTTTGATGTCAGTGGCTGCACAATACCAAAAGAACTATGAATTTCTCCAAATTAATACTTCGACAAATTGTTGGTGATTATGAAGTCTAACCTAAAAGATTTACAGAGTCAAGATTTACCAAAAATACAACTTGTTAACGGATCGTGAAGTCTATCACTATTCAAGTTTTTTTTTGGGGGGGGGTGAGGAATGGGTAGTAAACAATAAGTTTTTGATTGGTGCTTCCAAAGTGGAAAGTTGACTGCTTTTTCGAACATTTCATTGTGGACTATATTTATTTTTGTGTCCATAAACGCTTCGATACTAGTTTCTATGAGATTCTCATAGACCCATATCGATTACACCTAGATTGGAGCTTACAGATTTGTTTAGGATAAATTAATTTAAAAAAGATCGCTAACGAAGTAACTACTACGCAAAGTATAATGCATATATATATATATATATATATATATATATATATATAAGCGACACGGAGCGTAGAGATTATATTAGGGATTGGCACTTCTCTCTGTACCGGACATCAATCGATCGTGCTGCTGTTGTCCATTATTGTTTTTTTCGTTTGTGGTTTACACGAGTTGAGTTGTCACTATCATTGTCTGCATTCCCGTTGTTAGGATGAGATCGTTTGCTATTGGATTGATTTTCGAGTTTGGAAGATGCTTCACTGTGGGAACTAAAATTATAATATACAAGGTATGAGACATTTTGAGTACAACACAATCAAGAATTTAACATTTTAATAATTACTTGAGAGATAACAGACTATAAATTACTGTGAATGACTTAATAAAAGTCGATCTGTTCAAAAAGTCAACAAACGCAGTATCAATTTAATGCTGAAAACAAACCATATGTGAATCTTAATCAAACAAACTAACTTCGGTACCTTGACCTAACATGAAATTTAAAAAAGCCATTTGCTGATTATTCCACGAAAATAAAAATTTGTACGAATGCACCATTAGTAAACTATTACCATGAAATTATACACTACAATTACAGAACGCATCGTCTTTACATACAAGAAAATTTAAAAACACTAACAGAATATTGAATCATATCTTAATATCAAGAAAAAGATAACTCAAGCACTACATTATGTAAAATAAAAGGGTTCATAAAAAATCAGTACTATTTGCGCGAAAAATTCTAACAAATAAGAAAGATATCATAAAGAACTGAATAAATAAATAATGTAATATACATAGTGATTAATAGCTACTTAATATATACCAATCGGCGTGGAAAGACATCAGTATGAATTTAACTCGAAATATATGTAAACCACAAACCGAAGAAACAATAAACAGACAAAACAATATGGAAGGAATCTACCAAATTATGAAGGAAATGTAGACTAATAATGCTAAGCAAAACAGTCGCTAACAATGTAAGTGTACATAGCAATAAAAGTCATGGAGGACAAACTTAAAATTTACATTATTGAATTTGATATTGACGTCGTCCAGGGTAACTGTAGGCGTTTCACTCCAAATGTCCTGGTACGACCGGCGGTGGGGACAGTCACCTCACCCTCTCGAAACGCTTTCACACAGCCACTTCTAGGAAATTTCTACTCTGCATTCTCGTAGCGGGTGTGTTGTTTACGAAGTTGAGAGGACGAAAAGCGAATGTCCGGCGCTTTAACCGGGTTGGTGAATATGGGGGATCTACCTAGGGGAGTTGGAAAACTCTAATTCCAAAGCAATGTTGTACATGGGCTCCAGTATCCTGAAGGAACAAATGGCGTATGAACCAACCGTCGATCTCCGGCTACCATGGGACTGAATCTCATGACGTTGCCCCACTGCTTTGTAGATCAGACCTTTAGGTCGAAGACTCTGGGAGTGGTCCCCTGCTTCAGTCTGGGCACCTAGGCAGTATCACAACCAACACACAAATCAATTGACTTGTTTGGCGCATATGTATTCGGTGCTCCTTTGTACCAATATTTATGTGTTCAAATAAGTAAATAAATAAATAATAAACGCTCAAACTATCTAGCTCAGAAAACCCAAATATTCACTTTGAATACTTAAAGAATGGTTGGTATTAGCTGTACTAGTTCTCTACCGTTATGCCAGTTGTATTAACAGTCTAACCACTATAGACTAATGATTACTACGATTTGTTGAACTATTCTATCGAATTGTCTGTTGAAGAAGGGTGTACATAAAGTGTGTTAACATCTTGAGGGCTCTGTATACAAACACCTCTGGCAAAATGATGGCATGCAACCACCTCACCACTGATCTACTCAAGCATTGGGGTTAGACAGGTTTCTCTAATCTTGCCATTCTTCTTTAACTTTGCCATCGGTGACGTTCTGGAAACATCTCTGATGGAAGTAGATAATGAGGGTGCGGACTCATTACCCAGAAAAAGACTTTTCGACCTCTGGCATGATGATGATATTGTCTTACTGTGCGATGATTCAAACCCTGCAAATCGCTCTTAGTCAGTTGGTAACCAATGTCCATAGGTATGGCATGTGCTTTGCACTTTCCAAATGCAAAGAGTCTTTACAAAATTGACAGGAACTTGTGCATGAACTCAGTCCTGTTAGTGAACAATTAGTAGTCAAAACGTCCATATATCTGTAGTTGTGTAATTGCTGGAGCTGGTGTAACTGATGAGGTTGGTTTAAATTAAGTGAAAGCTAGAGAAGCCTGTGTCAATCTGGGCTATCTTTGATGCTTTCGTGATGTTAATTTGGTTGTTAAAGGTTGAGTTGAAAACGTGTCGGTGAGAGCAATCTTGCTATATGCTTGTGAAACCTGACATCTCATCGTTGGGGATGTTAGACAACTATGTGTTTGGTTAACGTTATCAAAGAAGGATTGGTGACGTTCAGTGGCAATAGCATATTAGTGATGCAGCGACTTGGGAACGTGTGTTTGGGCACAGTGACGATAATTCGGTAAATGTCACCAATTTTAAACATAGATTTTGGCGGCATGGACATAAGCTACGAATGTTGTCCAGCGAATTCCACCTCGTATATTATTTTCCGACGCAGGGACTGGTTGGAAAAAGTGAAGATACTGTGATATGAAAGCTGTACACGACTGGACTCTGTCAGCCCTCCATAGTTTCCTAGTCGGGCCTTACAGATATTGCAACACAGTAACTTGAGACATTATTAGGTATGACTTAGAAGCTAGCAGTGGCTTTGTTATAATCTTATTTTACTTTTATAAAAGTGAGAGAAGCTCCAGTAACAGACGATTTTTGCTGGTTGTATTTTTCTCGACAGAACTGCTTCCCTCATAATTTTTTTAAACTTTCATTTACGTTTATGCATCTGTTGATTTTGTTTTAGATTATGTTTATCTTCCTTCCTATATCGCTTCATAATCTCATTTCCTTATTGCGTGACACATAATTATCTTGGTGCCTCCTTGTACCAGTATTCATGTATCTCAGTCAGCCAGTCACAACGTAGGACCAGGTACATATATGCAACGGTCCAAGTTGCCACACCTCATTAACACAACAAGATCATAGAAGTAGTTACTTCAACGATAGTAATATATAAAAGAAAGATTGTGTATAAGCACACAATACAGGAAGAAAGAATTAGCTCGTAGAAAGAAAGACACACAGCAATTCTAATCTCATGGTTTGAGGGAAGACAGAGAGTGTATACACCTACGCTATTGTGATCGATTCTGAGCTATGTCACCCACAGTCTCCAACCATAGGTTACGATAGTCATACGGACCCCAACCAAGTAGTCTGCATCTATCAACATGGCTCAGACTAGAAGTTAGTCACTTCAAGGACTGATACCACGTTTTGGTTTGGCCACCCTTAACTTTCTTCCAACCATTCCCAACACTAGACAGCATTGCGCGTCGTGGTAATCGATGTTCAGGCATATGTAACACGTGGCCCAACCATCTCAGTCGATGAGGATTCGCAACCTCATCAACTGATTTACCATCATTCCCTAATACCCTGAGTTTCACCTCAGTACTACTTACCCGGTGATCCCAACAGATGCGAGCAATATTTCTAGAACATCTGTGATCAAATACGAGTATCTTCTACCCTTAATGGCCACATTCCACAGACGTGAAGTAAAACAGAACGAACTGCTGCGCAGCCTTCGCCATAGGTGACATAAGTTGTCAAAAGCTAAACCAACTTTCTAAATCCGTGCAGATTTTGTCAGATACCAACCCATTAGGGCTGATCAGACTTCCAAGATAAGTGAAGTTGTCGACGCGTTCGACTATTTTACTCCCTATCTTTAGTTTAGGTGTTGACACAGGCCAGTCCTGAAGCAACAACTTCCATTTAGAGGGGCGGGAAACGCATCTCAAACATCCTGGCATTGTTGCTCAGTGCTACCAAAAGACTGCATTTTATCAGCGCCTTCACCAAACAGGACTATATCATTTGAGTATTCAAAGTCGATAAGTGACCTCCTAAAGAAGAAATCAATTCTTGAAAATTCAGACGACGAGAACCTTATTTCCAGCACTAGGTCTATGATGAAATTGAACAAAAATGGAGATAATGGACAGTGTTGTCGGACACCACCTGAGGTTACGAAATCAAATGACAGTTCGTCATAAGCTCTGACTCGCCTATTAGTGTTCGATTAAAGAGCATTTACCATATAGGCTTTGACATTACAATCTGAATAGTATAGCTCAATCCTTTGACGCAACCACACAGGTTCCCAGCACCCTGGTGGACCAACTTATGTATATAAATAAAATAGTGTTCTTCATTTTTTATGATAGTTTAGTAGATTATTACTCTTGTAAGGACACTGAACACCTTGGGATCGCAAATATATTTTCAACCACACTGAATCCATTACTAACATCAGTCATAGCTACTGAGATGGCTCTGGTAACCTGCTTTCCGGTTGCTTACGTTAATACTCACATGAGTTGTTTAATAATTGTTAACTAGGTCACTAAAACTCTGTGGTTTTTTCTACTTGATTATTAACATCTAAAACTATCTTATGAAAACTATGTATATTATACGATATCAGTAAACAGCTTTTGAAAAATGTCCAAAGTTCTTCGATTCGTACATAGTATAAATATCAATGAATAAAATGATAGAAAACTAATTGGCCAAAACATATTAACCTGAGTACACAAATTGACTTCCGTAAATATAAAATATTTAAAATTCAAAATACCTTGATGATGAGTCAGAGCGTGATGAATGTGAGGTCTGGCTAGAAGATGAGGAAGAATCAGAGTCTGAATCCGAAGAAGAAGAGTGGCTATGACTTCGTGACTTGTTTATTGCAGCTTCTTGTGAAGATGCAGGTTTTCGTTGATTTGATAACTCATCATCCGAATCGTTGTTTCCTGCCCCCCAAATATCATACTTTGAGAGATCAGCATCATCACCAGAATCTTCATCTTCACTATCATCACCTTTATTATTGCCATTTTCGTCCTCATCATCTTTATCATGAACTCGTGTAACAGAATTGTTACCCAAATTGGACGAGTCATGGTTGCTAAATTGCTCACTCTGATTTTTTCGAAAGCTTTTCTTTTTACGACCGAATTCATCAAACTCATCATCTGAGTCTCTGCGTTCTCTGTACTCTACTACTTCATCACGCTCCATAAACCCTCCACCATAACCTGTTCTTTCGCCTTGTATGTCGACCTTCGAGCCATTGCACACGTTGCAGGTACTTCGACGTGCCCAGTTGATATTTCCACATCTATATACAATGTTTAAGAAACAAACTGAGAATAAACAATGAAGATGTGAAATAAGTCATCATTTACCTACTGTTTAAAACACTGAATTAAAGATGATTTGTAAAATCGTACACTCCAAACTTCGGAGGAGTAAGAATTAGAACGCTGTCAAAACATTCAGAGAAAGGGGTTCGGAAAAGAAACTAGTTCGGTTGATTAAACTACTGATGCGCAAAATATATCAAAATAATTATATGAGTACTTAGAATGGGAAGCATATTTAAAGAGGAAAAGGATAGATGCTATGGAGCAAATTACGCTTTTTAGACCGATATGTACAAGTTATACGGCATGTAAGTACAAGGTATCTCACATACTAAGTTTTTATTGCTTGAATGAGGTGAAGGCAGGACTGGGAACTAGTATTTAGAAAGAATCCAACGTTCGTTTGGTGGGGCCATAATTTGTGAACGACCTTTGAGGAACGATTAAGTGACCTCAAGGTAACTCATCTACTCATCAATGTCAAAAAAGTGTAGATTAATCAGGAATTATAATTTAAGGTTATGAATCAAAGTAAAGGTTTTCTTTACAAACATCAGCTATTATTTATTTTATTTGAACACATAAACATTGTTACAAGGAGGCATCATATAGATATGTACCACATAGATCATTCGATTCGTGTGAGGGCCGGGATAATGCCTAGATGCCCAAACCGAAGCAGGTGGTTTTCTTAGGGGGCCAAACCCGAAACCATTGACCAAAATGTCTAATCCAGAAAGCAGTGGATCAACGTCAGGAGATACAGTCCCATGGTAGCCGGAGATCGACGGTGGGTTTATACGCCATTTGTTCCTTCAGGATACTGGAGCCCATGTGCAACATTGCTTTGGAATTAGGGTTTTCCAACTCTCCTAGGTGAACTCTCTGTGTCCACCAGACGTCAGCTATAATTCCAAAATGCTATTTAAATATGAGGATAAGTTAATTTTGCGCCAAAACTCAGGGCCTTTTTTCCTTAATTTCGTTGGGTTGTTCATAAATTATGGTCTCGCTGTTAATACTAAGCTTGACTGATGTCACATTAAAAGTTCGATACACATGCAAGATTAATTTACACGATGAACTTCAACCGAGATCCCATTTTGAGCAGCAGAATGTTAGCTTCACGCGTAAGAGGGTTAGCTATGGGGACGAACAAATCAGATTTTAGAAAGTACGTGTGGAATTCTTGCTCAAAATATAAATGGTTATAGTGTTATATTATGACTGGATTCAGTTCGTGTGAAAGTCATGACACTAATCCTGAATCATAACCTCAATTCCTGACTTCATCTTGAGTTTAATTTCTGCAAAGTCACTCTTGGGATAGCACAAGCTTGTTTTTATACTTTGGTACCACCCATAAAAAGCCAATAAAAATAAATAACTGAAATTCGTGTCCACAAGGAAGTGTAATAAGAGTTGAACCCATTGCAGAATAGAAGCGTACTATGGGATACCTTTAACAATCTTGCTGCGGAGAAGACATTAACTTATTTAAGGCAAAGTAACGTTTTATAGTGAGTAGCCACTAGGATGACACTGAACTATAGCACGTGGCTGCACTCGAAATCATTAAAGATTTTCATCGCGCACTTACGTCTTACAAATCCAATCATCTGGACTGAAAAGACCTTTGCTTTTTTCAGCTAACTGTTTCCCGACCTCTAAACCAGCATTACCTGAAGCCACAAATTTCCTAGGCTTGTCACAACGGTTGCACTTGTCCCTTTTAGCAAAATTCACATTTTTACATCTGAAAGCTTATTTGTGAAGGTTGGCAATCTTACTTTGGATCACTACAAACCCAATCTTCTTTTGATGAGCGAGACATAGATGTGCAACGTTACAACTGTAATCCCGCGGATAACTATTCGTGCACTTAAACACCATTAAGCGTAATAAACTGTATATTTTTATTATAAGTGAAACTCTACGTTTTCCGATTATTTTCTAAAATTTAGGCTACCACATCCTTGATTGGATATGAGAAATTTATAAGATTTTCAGAATAAACAGTAATTTCCATGTGTTTTTCTTGAATTAAAATTTCATCAAAACTGTCTGCCACGACGACTCAGTGGGAACATATTGCTCGAGAAGGTACTTTTTTACTATACTTTGGTCTCATTTGTTAAACACATAGTATGAGTCTTTGTCGTGTCTAGAAAAGTGTCTGGTTATCTAAAGTATGTTCTACGAATTCTTGATTACAGACAGTTTGAGCAACTACCGAGTCCTCATCAGCAGAAACTTACTTACCTGGCGTTTTTTCTCTGGAAGATCTTACACGATGAGAAGGATGTGGTTGCCAGTAGTTGCAAGGGATAAGTAGTACGGCGTACCCACTGGTGATCTGGTGCTGATGAGTGAATTGGCGCTTCAGTAAGGAGGTGTCCCTTAAAACTAATGAGATCGACGTCACTGTGGAAGACTTACAGAACCAGTTATTTTTGGGATTTATTCGCTGCTACCACTCACTTCTCCTAGTGGGGTAGTGGTTACGTTAGGACGTGGTCAGACGGTTTTAAAACCAACGACCTTGCCGTTGGTCAACACTATTGCTTGCTATGTTCATCAGCATCTGGTAATCCTTCCCCAACAAAAGGGGCCATATGGTAAAATGTGACAGCAAAAAATGTACAGTGAAACTTTTAATTGATTGTATACCACGTCAGTTTTTCATAAATCCCATGAGTCCTACAAAGTAAAAAACTAAAAGTATAAGTGCATGTTGAGATACAATAGTATGTGCGCAATCATGCAGAACTTTCAATAAAGGAGTGCATCATAATTTTGAAGTTGACATGGCTCGACTGTATAGAAAGAAACTCAAGACTAATGTGCTTTTCTTCTAAATGGTCGGCTTTTAGAGAGTTATGTCTGACGTTATCGTTACAGTTTCATCGATGATAGAGTATTTAGGTGTACTATGAGGGACATGGAAGGATCCTTTATATGCGATCGTGATGAATCATACCGTACTAAATCATGTGCACTATGTCGTACGATAGGCTGAATGAAAATATCAGCTCACTGTGGTCGGGCGAAAAAGGGTTTCGCTAAACCCATAGCGTTTGTAAGCCTGCTCATGTAAGAGTTTAGATCCATATTCATTGAAGGACATTAGATTACAGGTCCTAGTAGTCGGAGTAATCCTCGGTAAATGAGTTGTGCAGCAGTGTATCCAACGTCAGCTTTTACTACACTGTGAATACCGAACAAAACGAGCGAAGGATAGTCGGTCCACTGTGAAACGTTTGCAGCTGAGAGCAAAGCTTTCATCTATCAGTGAAATCGTTCTACCAACCTTTTAACCTATGGGTGATGTGTGGTATTTTGGAATCACGTGATTTCTGGTAGTGTACCAAGACAGCTGGAACTAGCGTCCACGGTTTGTGATGATAGTTGAAGGGCCACTGGAGCTCGCTATCCATCATTTGACGACGAGGCAGGCTACTGTATGGGCAGTGATGTCCTCGATAAGCACTGCTTCTTGCCATTATGTGAAATGGTTCACACACGTTAAGAAGTAATAGCGTCCAATTGAATCTGGTAAGGGTCCTAACAAACCAATATGAACATAGTCGAAAGGGGTGTCGGGAGTTGTGAAAGAGCATAGAGGACATTTGCTGTGTCGAATCACCTTAGATTTCTTGTAGTTTACACTGGATCGTGGCCACTTCCTCACGTCCTTATTTATACCAGCCTAATAAAACCGTTTTGCTATGGACTAGATGGTTGATGAGGACGTTTGTACAACGTGTTGAGGACGCTGCATCGATAATGTTTCTGCACTATTAGGCGATCCCCACCCGCAGATGCGTCACACAGTAGAGCTTCCTTACCTGTTCCCATCTGTTCGATCTGTAGATTTGTGGTTGTCGAAGATAACTAGCTTTGATGATCAGTATCATCTTTTCGAATGTCGATGCCTTGGGAACTGTTGAGGGAAGTTAAGTACCGTATTTCCAAATGGAATTTTATTCACATGCGGTTATTTGGGGCTGTAGATGAATAACTAATATTTCACGCTGTAGGACAGTGTCTAGTGGGACACCCCAAGGTACAGGTTTTAGTCTTTAGTGGTGTGTTGTTCATTCTGCATACAAACGACCTTATTAGTTTCTTATAATCATTAATCTTCTTATATGCCGACGAAATTAAGGTGGTGAAGGGTAAATAAAGAGACGAAGCGTCTGTACTGATATGGATTTTCCCAGAAATGTGTTGTATATCTGAAGTGAACTGTGAGGGGCAGTTCAATTACTGAGACTCTCGAGTGGAGTGCTTGCCTGGATACGAACTTAGAAAGAAGGTAAGAGGTTTGTGATCGGTGGAAAGAGTGGATTCTCGGCCTTCCATGGAGTGTTAGAAGTGCTGTGCAACACAACAAATGTCTAGGAGTCCCCATCCGACGGTGCTATACCTCGGCTCAGTGTCCAACAATCGTTTCGAAAGGAATGCCATTGAAATATATAGCTCCAACAAAGTGAGCTAGAAAAAGATTTACCGGAACTATACCTAAAATAGGGATTAAACCCTACTTAAAGTTTCTGGCGACATCAGTCTTCAGTAATAGGAACAGTAGGTGATTGGACCTCACTGTTTGCTTTCCATTGAAGATCCAGCTTCTCCTTGGAATTGTACACCACTTGTTCGTGTAAAGCCTTTCACTCATTGGTCACTAAATGAGAAGAACGGGCCTTCACTCCGAGTTTATTGGATCGCGGTTAATGAACCTTCTTGCTGTGGCCCCAAAGATTATTAGTGCTGTGGAGAGCAAAATGATAAAACACATTAACACACAAATCGTAATTAGAGTTACAAAATGCCAAAATGAGGTCACATGGCATTCTACGACACGATAAGGTGGAAGGGTTTGGGTGTGCTAAGAGCTCATTGTGAGAATTTCTGGGAAGGCCTTTCACTCATTTTGCTTCTACATGCTGAATACGCTCACGCAAGTTGCTATCTTTAATAAGACATGATCTGGTTGCTTGATTGCATTACTGTAGATGTGGTCTTACCTTGGTGGAACATAAATTCCGAAACATCTCGTTAAAAAATTTAAATGGACGACGAATTAACTATTACACTCGGAAATTTTCGGTGGCTACTGCGTTGCAATACGTAGTTGTTTTCAAATCTTGATGTAAGAATTGCTCCTAAGTCTCTGTGTCCCTGTACGTATGGAGGCTATGTACCGTTGATAGTTCACTGGCAACTATTACCTTGCATGTGCATGAGTGCACTTTTTCTAATTAGTTGCTAAGCCCTAAACTTGGGATCACTTAATTAGTTCGTCTAGGTCAGCCTGGCAACAAAAAGGATCAGCCTCACTTTTTATTATTCTCAAGATTTCGATGCCGATGACTTGAACAATAACAAAAATTCATTGACGTAGGGAAAGAAAAGTAGAGGACCTAAGATGGTACCTTGGGGTGGGAAAAAGACTTTTTGAAGTGAATCGTGGGTGGCTTTGAAGTGATATTGGCGAGGCAAAAGGCAATCGTGAATGTAACTTATCAAGACCCCGGCACCTTACTATATCTGAGGTTAGTGATCAACTGAAGAACAGCTTCCTTAGTCAAATGTGCAGGTCTTAAAGATAGTATCTGTGTTGTGGTTGTGACAAGTTTCGTTAACAATACGTGCAGAGTAGATTTCTTTGAGATAATTTGATAAAGGTTCGGCTTTTGCCAAACATGATCCAGCTGGCATATCTGAATTTTCGTGCAACAAAAATGGAGGAGTAGCATCACTACGTTCTGTTCTTTATTTAATGCTCAAAAACAAACATTTTGGACAGGTACGGCTAACATGTGCCAACTGCCGTAAGTAAATGTTAGGACACCTGGGTGTGGTCTTTTTACACATATTTCAGATTTTTCGGTACCCACACTTGAGTGATTAGTGTGTTATTGAAAAGAATATTTCCAGAAATGTTTCCTACACCTCAGCAGCCTTCGGGTATCTTTGTCGATTCATGGAGTGCAACGTGGTAGCCCGTGTTGACCATGGGATGTACGGTAATGTTATGAACTCGAGTGGAACTTTAAACTCATTTCACTCGTTTCCAATAAATCCATGTGCATGGATCCATCAACACGTTCAGATAGCATAGCTTTCGTGCTTAAAGGTAACCTTCATTCTGTTGATAGAAGAGACCAGACTAGTAGCAAGTAGGTCTTTATTTAGATCGAGAGACATTCCCAGCGGACAGGGGGATTACCTATTCAACTAAACAAAGCCTTTCGACATTCAATATAAGATAATAGGAAACATAATGCTTTATACGAAATAAGGAAGTGAATGAGTACTTGAGCTATATTTTTTTGACACATAGTTGTTTGAGGTCAACTCTTAACTAATCAACCTAAGTTGTTACAGAGTCTCCGATTGCCTGAATGTTAGTTCATCAGATATTGGGAGGAGGTTGAGCATATATACAATGTATATTGCGTGTCCGAAGCCTAAATTGCAATAAAACGTAGCCACTAGTTACCAGTGGGAGAAGGTGCTAATTGTCGATGACATTGTTATAATGACGTGTAAAGACAAGATTCAGCAATGACGGTCCATGTTCAGACCAACACGTATCGGTTTTCTGATACATTTTACAAGCTCACATCAAATAATGATTGATATCAAGCTGTTATCGAAACATACATCTGAAGTTGTAAGCTCTATCCACTTGATATGCGGCGAACTGAAATCTCTATCGATGTGACAATATTCGGCCTTACTCTAAGAACAAATATGACTTAAGATCAAGTCGTCAGTTAAACAGCGTGGGCTACAGAACATTCGCCCTAAAGTCACTAAACCGTGTCTAGATTTAGTTTTACAAGTAACCTCACATGTACCACTATAACGC